TTAGTTGCATTCGACGACCGACCTGAAAATGCAGACTTCAGTAGGAAAAGTCTTGTGCACCAGCCCTGAATACGTATACGCATGGAGAGTGCGACAGCATACAGATAACGCGCGCTGCGGTTGCTTCAGCAGCATGCGGTCGCTGCAAAGTTTAGGAAAGTGTCGTTTGTACGCTTTAACATGTCCGTTATACTCGCCAGTTTTTACCACCTGTTGCTTAGCTTGTACAACGTTATTTTTACGCGGCTCCAAAATTTCAATTGCGTTTTAAAAAGTAAATGATCGATGCGTTTTATTAACTTACGTAAGCCTTGATCTTTGTAAACGTTGTGTAACGAACGTTATTTTTACGAGGCTCCAAAATTCCAATTGAGATTTAAAAAGTAAATGATCGGTTCATGTTTTTATTAACTCACATAAGCCTTGATCTTTGTAAACGTTGTGTAACGCTAGCATTTTACGGACATCCATGCACTGCACGCTAAAGCACTTAAATTGCTCAGTAAGCCACACTCATGATCAAGGCATTGATTTCGTCTCGAAAGCGCAGACTGTATCCACGAAGCGCATACATATGGTGGTGAAGTCCAGCAGCTGTGATTCAATGGGCTTGAGCTATTACTTTGTGAATAGACCGTCCCTTTTTCATTGATATGTCCTTAGAATATTTAAACACTTATTCCATACACTATTTTTTGCTGTACTCGTAAACATGGAAACCGCATTCGTTGAAGCAAATTCACTCTGATCAACTAAATATTATTCAAAAACATGTTTTTAGCGCATTTTCTCATTTATGGAATAAATGCACTATTGTGCTCGCCATGTCCGTCCGTCTGTCCGTCCGTCCGTGACCTCAAGTTTTCGTCGACGAGAAAATGCGCTCTCTGTCACTCACTGCAGTGAGTACTGAGTTATATTTTTTTAGCATTTAATCACGCGCACACGAAGCGTTTCTGCTCAATTTTAAGCTCCTGTTTGTATTTACCAGGATAAGGGTTACATTGTTACTCGATCGATATCATCCAGAGCCTAGTCCGAGTATCACACCAACAACTCAACAATGGCCTTGCTATCACTTCACTAAGGACTGGCGTCACTATCGTCCGTCACTATTGCTGCGGGGTAAACTCCCTCTAAGATAGAATAAATGATTACATTTCTAGATTATGGCACCAGAAAACACACTGTAAAATTCACAGCTGTGCTGAAATTTACCCATACATCGCATTATATTAAAGTTTTAATAGTATTTTTAAGAATAATTCTTCGTTTCTACTTACCCATACATCGCATTAATTATATTAAATTTTTAGGAGTCATAAGTAAGAATAAATTATTCGTTTCTCTCAAACTTATTCTATAAAATTGAATATTGAACTCCCGACATACTGGCAAGCGCAAACGGTTAGCATACACAAACGTGCTCGCCCCTACTCCCCTTCAACAGAGATAGCCAGGGGGAGTACCCGTGATACGGGCCATGGTACGGATATATTACACGCAGGGCTAACATGCATGGTATCATGAAACAAGTGTCTGCTGACCGTTTTTTTTTCAGCCTAATTTTGAGTGGGTCTCAGTTGCCATGAGTTAAATTGATCTTTAAAATTGTTTCAATTTTCAAGCACGGTAACCCCGAAAAACCCTTATTCTATGGTTTTAGAACCATGGGTTTGGTTTTAAAATCCCGAAAAAACCTTATTCTATGGTTTTAAAACTCCGAAAACCCTTATTCTATAGGTTTAAAATAAAACCAAGGGTTTGGTTTTAAAACAATAATCGAAAATATTATTTGCTATTTACGATAATTTTATTGAAGAAGATTCAAAATGCCTGCCTCAGTTATGATGCAAGTGAAGAAGTTTTCTAAGAAACTGTAGGCTCATAAGCATCAAGCTTGCGTACGCTTTCTGATCTTAACAAAGCGAGGGAGCATATCTCGGCCGCGGCAGATGATTGAAATCGCACTTTACGGAAGCGAAGTTTCGCTCCAAACTGTCGCTTCTCGCGCAGTAAACCGACTTCTCTCTTTCCGTTCTACGCTGTGAGCTTGTAGCGGGTCCTCTTTATTTTTCCGCATTAAATGGGGGCGATTTTTATGCATAAAGCTCATGTTTCGGGTGGCGGTTAAATCTCCGTACATTGAGATTATATCTGTTCAAATGTCTTAAATAAATAATATTGTTTCCGTTGTATATTATGGGGACACTGAATGTTTCCTCTTTCTCTGTTTTGGTGTAGGTAGAAAGCTCATATCACTTAGTTTTTAATGTTACAAATATTCCAGCTGCAAAAATCATGGAACTACAAATACTTATATGAAAACTTAATTATATATATATATAGGAAACCTAATTAGCTAAGAATATTCTCTTACAGATATATTCTTACTAAGAATATTCTCTTACAGAAATAATTTTCGAATCACTTCATTTAGGCTGCCAACATATATACTTGGAATTCCCAAAACAACAGCAAAAGGTTGTTGACCTATCGGTAATGTAGGAGACCCTGCATACCTGAGTAAGCACAAAATAATTCGGTCTTGCCTTCTTGTACGATTCTGACTAATCGCGCAACCTTGGTGTCCACGCGCACGAGATATCGGCTCACATAAGCCTGATGTGGTCACCATCACATCGTCACCTTGATGCAATTAACTGACATAATCATATATCAATCAATCATAATCTCTCAATCGTTTACTTTGCTTGTATTCCTTATCGCTAAAAATTGCATTAGCTCGAACAATTAGCGGTCTAATCATTAGACAGCCTTTAGCGTCATTAATTATTACTTGTTTAATATTCCAATTGGACGGGAACTTTTGTGTCCTAAAAAGTTTCATCTGTTGTTTGCAGAATGGTTTTTTACAGATGCTATGCCTACAGCAACTTATTATCCATGTCATAACTTCTCCTATTACTCGCTTCATTGATCTACCTCAATCTTTACATCGACAATGATCTTTGCTCACTTATTTCTCTAAATTGCTTGTATCTATGTTCATCCTCGCAATTGCAGGCTTTCATGCTCAATATTCAACAAATACATCTACTTGGGCTCACCATGCATATAAAGATATAACGGATTTGTTTGCATGCCATGTTCTTTATAAGATCAGAGAAGTTTTGTGAATGGCAACTCAAGTGTTGATGGTCAGTCTTCAATGATCCACCGTTGAGTTTCAATTGAGAAATAACTCCATTCATGCATCAGCAACGGGGGACTGGCTCAGGGGTTAACCCTCAAGTGGTGGCTTCTCCTTGTAGCTTCATCTCAAGTTCATTACGATGTTTCCCGTGGACTTGTACGTTTCGCAACTATAACCAAGTGTCGCAAGTGTAGTCAATCGTTCATTAGTGGTCAGTGATTGTGAAGGCAACTTGATTGGTGAAATGAACCTTCTTGTCTGTACTTGTTCGGTGTCACATTTTCCCCTTCGCTAGAACTCCCATGCCGCTGATCATACAATTTCTCTCAAATGTTCGCCAATCTTTCTACACAAGGGAAGCGAAACAATTCCTGCTGTATAGTTGCAATTATGCGTGACTCGTGAATGTGGAAAAACTCAAACTTCATGTAAATTAACTACGAATGATCATGTATGTATGAAACGTTGTAAGAATGAACTTTTTTGGGACCACGACTTTGTGGAAAACGTTTCGTATTCATCGATACTGGCTGCGTTCAAAGATCATTGTTAACAAATTTCAGGTGCATGTTCAGCCGCATCTGAGCTTCATACTCAGAAATGTAGATGCAGGTTGCATCAGAAACCTGTACACTGAATATGCATGCATTCAGTGCACAGAATAAGGACACCTGAGCCTCAGCTTGTCAATCCAGCTATCACAATTTTGCAGCTTTCTTCAACGATATTATCGGCGGGAGCGAACGATACATGTTATTATATACTTGAAAAATCCTAAATGTAGTTTTTAAAGATCTAAACAATTAAATCCAATTATTGTGCATAAATTGGCATTTTTAATCACACTATTTTTTCCTCTCAAATTGATTTGAATTATATTCACGCTTTGACTGGTCAAGCGCTTATTTATACTTATAAATTACATATTATATTAGTGACAGTTAATCTTCCATTAAGTTAATAAGATTCAATTCCGCTGCAATGAAGTCCAATGATCTATAGTTAGTGATAGTAATACGTTCTCAATGAGAGTGAGGCATGAACATATTGCATGCAGCAAGCAAATCATTGAGTGACAGACACCCTTCGTAGTCGGCCCATTGAGCTGAGACATTTCCTATATATACGGTCCAGCAGGACGCATACGAGTGTTACGGCGCGTATCCGTGGACGCTGAGACACTTGGCGGTTCTTATAGAATAGAATAGAATAGAAGTGTCAACACTGAAGAAATAGGCCCATGGCCTGTTGCCGATTCTTGAATTTTTCGTGACTTGATTCACAAGGGATTCATTAATTAGTGGTGATTCACATATCGTTTGCATTCAATATCGTTAGCATTCAACGGAATACTGCTCTAGGTTACCTGATATGTCACGCTGCGTTATCTCCTCGATAGATAGATATTTAAATAAAACAAGTCGAAAACGTTTCACTGTTATCAATTTATGAAAATAAAATTACTACTGAGAACGTGCAGGAAGCTAGAGCGACTTTTAAAATTTCATGTGTATGTAACGTTAGTTGTTTTGCACGAGTCAGATGTATGAAAATGGTAATTTTAATTAATTGCATGGGTATGAAAATTTTGATTTATTCTGAGCTGCTCGCAATCAGCTGCTTCATTAACATGTAACATTAATAGTCCTATCCCATGTGCATTAGAAGCGAGTGCCATGTTTTTATTTAACTAATTTAGGGTAATATTTTTAACCTGATTCATTCGTTTTATATTTGGTTGATGCATTTGAAAACATGTCAATAGTTTTAGTTTTAAATTTTTATATTGATGGTTGATAGATAAATTAATAAATATTTAAACGTATTTTGTTTGTTTTTACAGACCATCACTGAGATGCTGCCGTCCGTGTCTGATGACGTCATCAATTTCGAGCAGTTTTGTGACGTGGTCATTGCACTACGCCATTCGGGTGAGAATCATATATGAATCTTATTTTATAACACAAAACTTCACGCAAAAACAATAAAGACGCTGTTGAAAATAGGAGGCAGGTATAATTTATCATATATTGTCGAATGCTCATGGGTTCATGGGAAAGCCTGGCCGCGTGAATATATTGGGGTTATTCGGGTGAGTATCCACAGTCCTTTTCGTGTCGGTATATTACCTGGACCTGAAAATTACATTCCTGGTTTAAAATGGTAAGATATTGCAAAACAGACGTGTGAGGGTCGAATAAAAAATTTTGAAGGTTATTTTTCGATCAAAACTGTAACTGTAATTTAAATTTAAGTGTACTCATATGTTTATTTACGATTCGGAACGAGTCAAATAGGAGCTCAATGTTTAAAGTGGCTTTTAATAGAACTCCTATCAATAACCATTAATTCAATTATAAGGGAATCGTTTTGACGGTTTAATTAAAACTATTATAGTTATCAGTATATAAATTACATAGGAGAATAAAAAATTTGTATTTATTTGTTATTCTGAGTTCTGGGATGCTTTTGCGCCGGCTTTTTTCTTATTGGCATATTGTTATTTTATGTTCATTAACGATATTCGTACTTTTAAGATTCGGACGTTTTTTTAATCCTGAATCCAAGAAAAAAGTGAATCTCGAAGCACATGGATTATAATTTTCTATTCAGGACAAAGCTGGGTTCAGCTGCTAGTCGTTTGTAAAGCCTTAGACATGATAGTGCAATATTCTGGACGTTAAACACCTAGCTCATAATTATTAAGGAGTGTGGTTGAAAGAAGATAAGAGACTCATTTGGCCTTCTTCACGTGAAAAATAATCTGCCATATATGAAAATCGTTTGCAAACTCTCAATAGACTTTTTGCTGGAGAAGAAAACAAACTGTAAAGAAAGGAGTAAGGAGAAGAGTTAGTTGGTTTGTTTCCGAACGGTTCCTGAGTGTCCGCTATTTCATCCCGAGATCATTACTACCAACCAGTGAACCGGAATTTTGCAATGCTGCATCTCAGTAGACATTAGCTCCAGTTCTATTAATGCGTACGAAATTAGAGTAATTAATGTCAATGTGGAACGTTCATGATTAAAATGCGATTGTGTGTGACAGAAATGCGTGTTGCGTGGCCTAAGCTGCTGCTTCAGTACAGCTGAATCATTCAATACAGATGACTCGTTCGGTATAGCTGAATCATTCAATACGCAACACGATGAAAGCTGCATCCTGCTTCAGCAAGTACCTTTTAATTGCTTTGATTTGCAATCGAGGTTAAAATTAAGAGAATGTACTAAATCTACTGTCAAAGACCATATAGTTATTTTATATTTATAGAGAGGCAACCCAATCAATAAATTGTTCCATCACAATGATTTCTGGGCTGTATAATGCGATAGCTAAATTGGAAAAAAATGTACCTGTTGTAATCTAGAAGCGAACAGATGGAAATTTGAAATTTGATCATGGATGCAGTTTGAATTCTTTGATGTTTATAAAGACAAGACAATAATATCGTATCGTACACTCGTGGCCGAACTTTTATTCTAACATCCAGCAAAATGTTGCCCATGCAAACATGTACATTTAATTTTTTACTTAATTTCATCGGCACGATAATTGGTTTTCTATCTCATTATTCACTTTGGTGACTTTAAAAAGGCAAGCCTAAGTCTCGACATAGTTTGTTGTTCTTAAGACTCAATATCCTACAGGGCAAGTCTTTGTGCTAATTGTTCGGTAGTATTTAATTAGGTATCTACCATTCCTATTTCATTGTGCCTGCAGACCTGGTGAAAAACGAATGTTACAGTAATTATTCAAAGCATATTTTTGCCGATGCATCATAACATTACATAACATAGTGATCTCGGCGCTGCAGTGTAGGCCTGATGTGGCCTGTCGCTGATTCTTTTCCTTTTCGTGCCTTGTTCTTGTTTCGTGCCAGAAGATCTAAAATTGTGTCATTTGACCGGATCTTTTCACGACTGACGAAAGTTTGAAATAGCGAATTACACTAATTAATTTATTTTATACCCTTTAATTACACAATTACTAAAATCATAATTACATCTCCATGTATTGTTCCCTCTTTGTTGTTACTATTTACTTAAACCTCTAAGATAGCCTTTTCGTTAATTCTGAAGTAATGCATAATGCGAAGTTTTCTTGTGAGAGAGTGTGGTTTATCCGTCTATTATTTATCTACAATCACGTAATATTCACACGGTATCTCCACATTTCCGGAACTCAGTTCCTCTAACCTTCGGCTGGCATGAAATGTGACTTGCTTGCATGACGAAACTCGAAGAAACTCTCTTAGAGCTTATAATATGAAATATTTTTTTTCATTAAATGTAAACCCAGGACCAAAATTAGGTTCGTTCTAGATCCAGGGAAAGTTTAGCTCCGCACACCCTACCTACCAACATAGCACGCCATTGTTTGGCCGTATTTAATTTCTTAATACTAAAATTTCTTCAATAATTATTATAACGCAACAGATAGAGTAACCGATTAGATTTAAAAGTATTTAGCCGTTTTTGTCACTATTGTGGTGCTCATTTTCATGTATTCGTGTGATATTGAACACTGAGCGCTGTTTAGTTTAGTCCCCATGGTTTTAACAGAAAATACAAAATCTTTTGGCTCTGACATCGTAGGCGGGACTGTTTTTTCTTTTCAATGCCATAAACCTTGTTTAAGCTCCTTCTTTAATGAAGAGCGAAGAGTAATAATTCAACTATATTTAAAGAAAATGTTAATTTTGTTATGAATTAAGTAATTCTATGGCAAAAAGAAATCGGATATGCTAGTCAGTTAGAAGTGAAATTTGTTATGAATAAAAATGTTACCCCTACCGTGAAAAAGTTCAATAGCGCTCTTTGTAGTTATATTCAGATAGAAAACTTGTATTTTATTTACATTATATGATAACTTACTCAACTTACAACTTTTATACTATATGTGAATTCATTTTATAGCTTCGTGTCAAATTTTATGTAATATTTGAATTTTTTATGATAGTGCCTTTGTACCTTGTTCTCGGTCGTGCATGGTCACATTGACTTCTATCCTTCCAAAGTTCAAGAGGGCGTGATGAGTTGGTTGGCTCGTACCATACGAGACTCCTGGGACACAGTTACGACTTATCCAGGCGAAACCCTCTGATCCTCTCTCTTTTTTTAACTGAACTGTTTTTGGGCAGTTCATATGGTAATTGAAAAGAATGTTAACTCATTGTTAGTGTAGCTTTTATTTGAGGGAGTACTTTGCGTTCTAAACTTGAGCCTAAAGTTCTCACATAATTTGCGATGGTTCATTTAAGGATTATTCACCTGTTAAGTACACATTTATTCTAATGGGATTGCTACGACCCGTCTTGCCTTCTAAAATTTATCTCTTGGTGATTCATATTTTTGAGATTATGGCGTGAAAATATGTAGCTCACAATTTAAGTCTATGAAGCGATTGTATCCCTTACTTGTCACTAATTATTAGCGCATTTTCTCATTTTTTGAAAAATGCACTATTGTGCTCGCCATGTCCGTCCGTCCGTCCGTCTGTCTATCCGTCCGTCTGTCCGTGACCTCGAGTTTTCGTCGACGAGAAAATGCGTTCTCTGTCACTCACTGCAGTGAGTACTAAGTTATATCATTTAACTTACATTCAATAAATGAACTGCCAGGTGTGATCACGGATTTGAAATTTTAGCTCTCTTATGTAATATTTCTGAACAAGCGTGTCGAAGACGACTATTTTTGCTTTGCATTTCAACATATCTCTTTCATAACTTTAAATTTTCCTTTCATTGTATTGCTACATCTACAACACTCCATGGAACTTTGGTGCCTGGGAAACTAATTTAACAATGGAACTAGACAGGAATGTTTTCCTGCCAGCGCATGAGATTTGAAATTCATACCTACAACTCCCAACATTATAATAAAAAGACAACGCTACTAGAAGAGGCGCAACGGAAGTTCCTAAAACCACACATAAGAAGCCGGCAGCATCGTTTGCACGCAGACTGTCAAGCACGACAAAAACCCGCACGGTTCTCCGTTTCTTTTGCCGGCGCTGGTGCCGCTGTTTAGCTAAAACTGCCATTGTGTGCGTGACCTCAACGTGCCACAAAAACTCCGGATCAAGCAGAACTTTCTGATATTTGTTTTCTTCATTTCTTTTCCTCGTCGGTGATTGGCCATTTCCTTATAAGTTTGGTCTATATCGGCTCATTATCTAAAAATAATACGTAAATGCAGGGATAAAGCACAAAAAACAGTCAACATTGTTTCGTAAAATTGTTAGGAGTTACAAAAACAGTCAACATTGTTCCGTAATATTGTTAGGAGTGGAAACGAAAATTACAATTGATGTTATGGCAGTTTCTTGTGGCTTTTATGGTCGCGTTGCGCCTAATTGCATGAACAGACAACTTAAAGTCTACGTATTAAAAATAATTAGCCAGGATAGCATTCCAAATTTCAGACTTATATCTTATTTATGAGGGGAGTTATTGGACCTAGTAATAGTTATAAAATTACATTAGCGACTAACGCGGCTGAGCCGGCTGAACGGGCCTCTTAATCTAGTCATAATTCCGGTACACTCACTCAGCTGGTTTACCGCACCATGAAGGTCGGAGAAGATTGTGCGTCAGCAGAGAGATCTCATCATCTCAGTGATGGTGTGAAGAGCCTTGGCGGGGTACGCAGTACGCTGATAGCGTCTTGGCGTTGAAACTGAAATAAATTTGAACGCATATGCCTCCTCTAATTTGAACGCATATGCTCCTCTGATTAGCAAACACAATGTATATAATTAAAATAGCAAATAATCTGAATGATCTGTATATAAAATTTAATCCATATATAAATAATCTTTATATATTTAACCAATAGTTTGCACGGAACCTTGAGCTATTAGCCGCATAATACATTGTAACATAGGTTAAATTTATTTTATTTTAAATTAAATTAATTTTATATTTTAAATTTATGAACGTTATAGACAGTAACGCGCAACAGTAGACAGTAACGCGCAATTTTAAATTTATGAACGCGTTACTGTACTTATGTTATAGTTACCATCTTAATTGCCGATCAAAACATGCAAGTTATTCAATCAAATATCTTTTCAATAAATTCTATCATTAATTTGGTTTGAGTACTGAACGTTAATGAGGTTCGCAATGAACAATTTATTATTTTTTACAAATTTATGACTCAAATTACAAATAAGTAAGTCAATGTTGAATAATCCAGACATTTTCTATTAGAATCGAAAATACTCTTAGAAAACTTAGTTTAAGTACGAAATATTTGAGGGGAAACTTTAAATTTGCACCTTCCGCGCACACCGAACCGCTGATTTTTTCTGAAGTTTTGTGTTCAATGTCTGCACGAGCTCAGCATTGTAGCCATGCAGATATGACGTTTAAAATTTAGATTTTCTAAAGAACACATTCTTTAATAATTGAGAAATATCGAAAGCTGTTTTGGATTTCAGCTACATTGTCAGTTCAAACTCTAAAACAAAAGTGTATAAACAGTGTATAAAGTGTATAAACAGTGACTTTCATCGATGTACGTTTCACACTGGGATTTATTCATTGTACGAAGAAGTTGTAACCTAAAATTAACATTCAAACAATTCTCCTAAAATTGAGGACATACATGAACCATAGGAACTACGAAACGTTTTCTGTTATAAGAAATGGATGAGAAATGGTGAATTTTGTGGCTATTTTCTTTGCCTTTAAATTCCTGTTTAACATACGGTTTAAGCATTCAAGCGATCTTTATATACAGTATGTGACTTTATAGATATTAGATATAAGACAAAAATTAATAACTTAAACAATTTTATTAATTTAATTTATTACTTTGTGCTACTCGTAGATCATCGATAAGCTTTTATCTCCTATTTTTCATCTTTGTATTGTCACTTTTCCCTTTTGGTTATTTAGTTACAAGTTAATTTAAATTTGAGCAGAGTGACTGATGTGTGGGTCAAGTTCACCACCATTGCTGTTACTTTGCCGCAATGTTTGTCACAGGAGAGATAGAAATTCTGTTTTGCAAGTCGGTAGAGTGGAGTGCACTCAGACTGCACTTCCTTTTCTTTATCATTACGTCAGTACATGTAGACCTTTGTTGAATTAAACCAAACAGTTGCACTGTAGCATGAGTGAGTGAGTTATGGTGCAGCGATGGGTTTGCAGGCATCAACTGAGCATAAATAAATTTGAAAAAAAAAATAAAAAATTAAATAAAAACAAAAATTTAAATTTAAAAATCAAATTAAATAATTTTTGAATAAATTTATTGGAAATGCGCCTTTCATACTTATTATTGTTTATTATCATGTCTACTTTTAAACTGTTCGCTTATTTTTCTTCTATGAATTACTATTTGGAATATTCTGTAAAAGCTTATGCAATATACATTGTTGACTTAAGAGTGTGTAATTAATTTTTTTATCGACAGATGAAACTCTACCCGAAGCCGAAAGAGCATCCAACAGTGTAAGTATAAAATTTAGTAATTTCGAAAACTATTTTCTGAATTTTGTTGTTTCACTTCTATCGTCTGAAGTATAAAAAGTGGCTTTCATCGATGTAAGTTTCACACTGGGATTTATTCCCTATACGATCTGTCATGGATTTGTCTGTTTTGTTGTCATTTGTTTTTTCATAAATTATTCGGGCATGAGCAAAATTATGGTCTAAATTTGTGCGGCATTGTATTATATAAAAACTTAACCAGGATATGCAACTTCAATTTGCTGGGAACTCGCTGAACCGACATTAACAGATGTCATGGAAAATTACTACGCATCTTAACGGCTACATGCTTAGTTGGAAATTCGATCATAGGATCTTTGGCATCCATGGAAAAATCTACGTGTACGGTTAAGTTCTAAGCTGCCGGACGTACGATATTAGAAACATTGCGATGCATTTCGTTAAAAATATCTTAGATTAGTTAATGCCTTGCGTGTGTTGCCAGCAAGCGTGTCACATCCGTTGTCATGCCAACGCTAGACGACGCCATGCGGATACAAGTAAACCCAAGTTTATTGAAGTCTAAGCTAGCAGCAAGAGGCCCTAACTTTATTTGCATTTAAATTTAGATTATTCTTCTCGTTTTTCTGTGTATCGGTTTTATTAGTTAGTAAATCCATATGCAGTTGGGCTTCAAGAACCCAAAAGTTCTCATAGCGTTTGAAACTTTTCATTCCATGTCAGCGTGGGTTCGTTAATACGAATAAGAATATATTTGAGATGAAGTTTTGGAATCGGCGGTAGTCGGTATGAATTCTGTACGTGTTTCTGTACCAGTTCCAGAGAAAACGGAAGAATAACTTTATTAATGCCAATACATCTCGCGCAAACAACCGTTATTCCTCATAGATTAATTTGTCGAAAGATTATTATACCACAAATTAACCGACAGCTCATTCGCTGCTGCAAGCAGGAGTAGAAATAAACAAATAATATTATCGTAATTCATTTCATCTACATACTTGCTAGATTGTGGGGTATGTAACAAAAGTTATTCTTTAGTACCGTTCATTGGAAATTATGGCCTGCACCTCGCTACAGTATCGTCTAACTCCTAATTACAGTGTGATTCACAGAAACTTTCTGTTTCGTATTTCTTGCCAAGCAGTTTGAAGCGGCTGTGAAAGAAAGCTTCTACGCCACTGGCTGACAATTTAATTTCCTTGTTTATTAAAGGGATAGGTTGATTAAAATGCGCTTGACTAGTAATGGAGGCGAAGAATTGTTTATAACTAATGTAAAGAGCAATGAGCATGTAAATGGTGGTCCGGTGATGCAGCTAGCGGGAAATTCACCTGTTGGTGTGGGGGTGGGCGGAAGGTGGAGGTGAGGTCCACTGCTCCACTCACACCTGGCTGGCCAGTGACGTGTCAGGTGTGGGGTGAGGTGCACGCGCGTTGCTCTATCAGTTAATGTGAAAGCAAGACCGTTTGCACGAAAAAATCCCACAAACCAAAGTTACCATCCAGTTTTAACGAATTTAAAAAGTGTGTTTTAGTCATAAATTGTTTATTGTGTGTGTTTTAGAGCATTTAACGGTGCTTGTTACATCGCGAGTTGGGTAAAACATCGATGAATGATCCAGCCAAATTCCAGAAACTGTGAGCGTTTAAGTCGCCATCGGGTATCCTTCCTACATCCTGGACTACAGTGAGTGAAAAATATGTAATTAAATAGCCTCGGGAGCCATATTTCAATGCAAATTGTAATAATTTTTCTTTGAGTATCTTTTGGTAACAAGTAGAAGTAGTTGAGATCTAATTAGTGTAATGGCGGCTACTGGCTAGTGGCTACTTACGGCGAATGAACATGTGCGGCGGGATTTTGTTAAATTTTCAATCCGTTTTCTTTTCATGACGATTTGTTTTATTGTATGTTCGGATGCAGGAGAAACCATGGCAAGCACGATGACTTCTTACAACAGTTGACTAGGATTATTCTTAGATTATTGTTGTCTTAGATTATTCTTCTTTTCAATACGACAGTTTCATCCCCATGTATTTCGGTCAATAGGCAAAAGCACAAGTTTAGCTGGTCGCGAAAAAAAATGAATTGATGTTTCATTACGATTCCTGAGACCGAATGAGACTGCAGACTGTGACTGTATTGCTGGCTGCAGGGTGACTGTATTGCTGATTGCAGGGTGACTGTATTGCTGGCTGCAGGGTGACTGTATTGCTGGCTGCAGGGTGACTGTATTGCTGGCTGCAGGGTGACTGTATTGCTGGCTGCAGGGTGACTGTATTGCTGGCAGCAGGATGACTGTATTGTTGGCAGCAGGGTGACTATATATTGCTGGCTGCATGGTGACTGTATTGTTGGATGAATATATTGTGATTGCTCGGTGACTGTATTGCTGGCTGTATGGTGACTGCACATGGATGAACTAATGTATTCCTGGATGCATGATAGCATTTCAGACTGTATCCTATTGTCCACAGGACCATTTCTCACGAGCGTTATACACTTCGCTGTAACTTTCACTTCCGTACGCACGCGCTTGATACGCATGCCCATTCGTGCCCAGAGCCCATGTGCAGCTTACGCTTTGCCACGTGTACTTCAGTTGCTGGCAGTTTTCGTGAGCTCATTTCATAATTTTGAGAATATTTTGGATACGTTGAACCCGATTCAATGAATTTGTCTTCGTGAATGTTGTTTCATTATTTATTCAGCGTTTTGCGTTGTGAATCTCACTTTACCCGAAAAAAAATCGTTACATGTAAGATCAAGTACGAATATTAATTTATCACGCCTGATGTCGTTGGGTAGAGTTTTGCAGATGTGTTCAGAATAGGTTTCGTCATGGTCGCTACTTTTTACCTGAAAACCTTGCTTGAAATCGTGTAGCACAGCACAGTTGGGGCCATACCATCAAAACTCGCTAAGTGAACGTAAGTATCTACGCTCTATTTTATTGTCTATGATAGGTGGCTTTTGCTTGAAAGGCCGTCAATGATTGGCTGATGAACTTACGATTTTTTAATATTTTTTGAAAGTATAGGCCCTGGACTATATCGAACGCCTATACATTCATTCTCTATGGAATCAGCTAGCACTCAGAAATGCGAATACGTCAAACTGTCTAAATGACACACTTCCAGCACGTAGCACTGATACGCTATATACTACTTTCCCAGGATGCTTGGTACTGTCGCAGTCTTGACGGTATAGGCCTCGGCTTACCGTCAGTCCGTAGGCCTTCTTGGGCTGTACAAGGAGATATACAAGGGAACTCATGCAGGCGCATAACTGAATCCAATATGAGCGTCTTTATCCAGACGTTTGAGCTTCATTTTGTTTTTTAATAAATTTTCTACTTCGAAAGTATAGTGACACACACATCCAAGAAATTGTCGTCATATCTTTGTGAGACATAAATGAGACAAACCCCATCTATGTGAAACAAACCCCAATCAGGGTTTGTGAATAAAAAAGGATGTGTTTATTGAAGATTATATAAAATTTATTTCATGTACTAGTAAATTAAAATAAGAACAGTTTTAAAAAAAATTATAAACTTCAACAGAGAAAATGCGTACTGGGTTCATGCAACAACAGCTTCGTTGATGTGCGTGCTCTCTAAAAATTGCGGCAAGTGTCGAAGTTTTTGTTGGAGTTTATTGGAGTGCGCTTCGGGTTAACTTTCACGCAATCAATACCTGCATCATTCCAGAAATTTCACTCGAATTATTCTCATGTATTTTTTAACTGATGATCGGTTTAAATTGTCTACTTGACCATTTTGCTACGTATAATATTGTATCTTTATATAACCTATATATTTGTTTGTTATTACGTGCATCTGCGTTAACATAGAAGAAACTATCAACACCTGTCAATTTATTGATGACTGCATGGCTCGAACGTAATTGCTTCCTATGTCAATAACGCATGTTTGATGTTATTACATGCGCGTGTCTCTGCTGTGCTTGCGTGACTGATATTCACTAAATTACAGAGCTTGTAAGCCAGCTTCGCTCGTCAAGGTTACGTTATTGTGATGAGTCTTGTCCTGCTCTGGGCTGGGACATGCCTTCCCTGCGTTACGTGACAAGCACAAAACCTTGCCACGAGCTAGGGCATGACTTCCATGCGTTATGTGACAAGCACAAAACCTTGCTATGAGCTAGGGCATGACTTCCATGCGTTATGTGACAAGCACAAAGCGAGCTGGGGCAAGACTTCCAAGCGTCGCGTGACAAGCACAAAACCTTGCCCCGAGCTGGGACATGACTTCCATGCGTTATGTGGCAAGCTTAAGCGAGCTGGGGCATGACTTCCCTGCGTTATGTGACAAGCACAAAGCGAGCTGGGGCATGACTTCCCTGCGTTACGTGACAAGCACAAAACCTTGCCTCGAGCTGGGGCATGACTTCCCTGCGTTACGTGACAAGCACAAAACCTTGCTCCGAGCTGGGCATGACTTCCAAGCGTCGCGTGACAAGCACAAAACCTTGCTCCGAGCTGGGGCATGACTTCCAAGCGTCGCGTGACAAGCACGGAGCCCTCGATGACTGTCATTATCAATGTCATGCATTCTACGATATAATGATGATTATGCTTTATTGTATAATGGGAGACCTAATGACCTAGTACTTTGTAATTAGCCACTATAAACTATTAGTCTAATTCGGATTGTTATGCAAGTCTTGAACGCTCAGATTCTTCCCTGTATCCACGCACAGTGCATGGTGAAGGCCTTGAATTACCCCGCTCGCGGTGACAGATTGTTTACAGTTTTCTCTTTTGACTTTTGTATTGTAGACATTACTTTCGTATTGGAAGCATTTATCAGCGCCTTTGCGTCTATGGCATCGTGGACGATATACCCACTCGCTGGCTGCTGTTTCAGAAATCAATCCTATGATTGTTTTTCATTCGAGTTCTAAAACTTGTATTACCATAATCCCAAGATTATGCAATTTTCTCGCATCTTCTTGTTTTCAGTTCCCCTCGATCGTTATGGATTATGCTTCATTATTCATAATAATTACATTATTGAACGCTTGTTTCAGGCATAATTTCGCCGCGCATATCAATCAGTTTTAAAGCACACACGCTTCTCGTCCGACATGCAGTCCCTGTAGGGAGTAGCGGCGGCTTCCTGTTGGATTGTTGTGCTCTCTATTATACTTCCGCGTTGACGCGTCTCGCTTATCCCATTAGAGCTGCTTCTTCCTGCCTTCTCTTAGTGATAGGCTTGCTTTCAACGAGTATTGATTTAATTGATTCCATTTTAATTGATTTAATTTTTATTGTATGTGTGGTTTAATAATCGATTATAAATGAAAGGCGATTTGCTTGTTTTGTAAATCTGGGATAAAATTATTTAAACTAAGTATGAACTAATTGACATTCAGTCATTAAATAATAACATGTTATACGCAGAAGCTTCGTTGTACGATTTTATATTGCCAGACACACTAGCGCAAATGCATACAGTGGTTAAGATCTGCACCGTGATGGCAATGGCTGCAGTACAGAGAAAGCGACCTGCGTGGGAGCGTCTGGTGTTTTGTCGGGCTGGTCGCAGCGTTTCTCCAGCGCGCGCGCATCGTCATGCCCTCGCTTACCTTCGCGACGTGTTTCTAGTCACCCCGTCCGTAAGCTGAGATCGTCGATAAAGCATCCCCTCAATGATTTATCTCGTTATCAATGATTTAATAATGCCAATATGTTGTTATCATCGTCAGCAAGCTATCATCGGCAGCAAGTCAATAACGAAAACTCGGTAACATTGACTGAAATGTCGATTGCGAGTTGAAATAAAATAAAATCTCGAGAGACATAGCAATTCTAAACAGCTATTGCAGTTATAGCATTGTGGCTCAAAAATTGTTAAAGTATCCACGAATGTTCATAAAAAGTGATGGCAAGACAAAACTTGTAAATGTCGACCGGAACATCTAATTAAATTTCTTCTGGTGTTGCTTTTTGTCTAGAGTATAACAGCAGTTCTGGTCACCTCGGCACACACTTGTGGCGCCTATAGAGTCCCCTAATGGCAGCTGAGCTGGCAGCTGTGTTCCCGGGATCATTCCTAGATCCTTGATATATACGGTACCCAACTGCCTAGGTCAAAAACTACGTCAGAAAAGTGATTTACTTGAATAATTTTCTCTATCTATTCTATAAGATCGTTAAGTAGTGGAAGAGAACTATATTTGTTCTTCAGAATTGAATAACCAGAATAACAGGTTTGACATTCAGTGTTTTTATCGGTTGGTATATATTATTTAATTTACATAATTCCGTACAGAAGGAATCGATATTATTTAACTTTCTGAACAGCATATTGAATTTGTGAAAAAAAAATTTGTGAAAGCATGCAGCTAACTAAGTTAGCTAATATTGTTACTACTAGCATTCAGCCTCGGCCGTAACAATGTTTTACGAGAAACTTTATTCATTCTAAATGAAATTTCACGACAATTATCTCCCGGGCACAACAGAAAAATGTAACCCCCAAAACGTTAAAATTGAAGTTTGGCGAAAATTTTTGTCCGATGCAACTTCAAAATTTCTGTCATGCAAGAATCCTAACCCGCATGCAATCGATGCGTATAAACCCGGTAGAGGAAACCGTTATTTATTCTTGTTTACATTAATTGCCAGAATTTTTTCAATGCGTGAGTTCGATGAACCCTGACACGCGGCTCGCTGTTCAAGCTTCCGTGTGTCTGACGCTATGTGAGTCAGCAGAGCCGTGACGTCATACGTTATGCCGCTGCTTTCACTCGGTATTCTAGTGAGCGTAAATCTGGCATTCGTATAAATAAACCTGCAAAATAAACTTAGCCGTCAATCACAATCTTAAGCAGACCGTTAGGAACTCCCATTTCACAAGTGTTTAAGTACGGTATTTGTTCTAATTTCATCCCCGATACACTGGTTGTAACTAATTATATATGACAAATTGAATTGGTTCCGTTTGAAATATTTATCGGTCATTGTTACCGGCTTCATATAGAAGGAAGCGCCTGCTATTGTGCATGAATCATCACTTTATTACAAGTTTTAACAGAAATGTGGAACCCAACAAATTTATTTTTCTTCGTAACACTGTCTCGGTTGAAAAATAGATTTTGAGCGCTTGTGTGAAAGATATTGTTCCTTATTGAGCGCATCTACTCCCGTGTAATATTATCGGTGTCAATAACCTGTTCTAGAGCTAGACTCTAGACGCCATATGTCGGTCTTAAACTATATATATATACAATTATTTACTAATCGCTGGATTATCACACTGGATTTTCATTAAGTCGCGTATTCTTATCCATGCTACATCAAGGCCGCCATACATTTTTATTCTTTAATAAATCATACAATTTCATAATACTGATAACATCACTCTCCTACAAGTATTATATGAATTATATTAAACATTAAGATAAATTTTATCCTCAACGTCGCTGCAGGATCAGTCCTTGCTGATGTGGTCGCCGCAGCAGCGCATGGCTGCGTCGTGGCGATTACTTCGTACAGTTCCTCAAGTGAGGTCATAATTTTGCCGCTACTTCGCAACAATGTCGGTCTTGCATTACGTAACCACCTAAACACGACGCTTATTGCCGTTTATGATAGTTTAAGTGGCGTCAAAATTGATCTTGAGGTTCCAAATCGTCAAGAAGTCGTGTTTAAACGTTGAATTGAATGCAGATTGTCGTCTTGGAACACAATTTTTAGCGCATTTTCTCATTTATGGAAAAAATGCACTATTGTGCTCGCCATGTCCGTCTGTCTGTCTGTCTGTCTGTCCGTCCGTCCGTCCGTGACCTCAAGTTTTCGTCGACGAGAAAATGCGCTCTCTGTCACTCACTGCAGTGAGTACTGAGTTATATTTTTTTCTATATGAGATTACGTTCTGAAAATCTGCATGCAAATTAAGTCAGTAGCCGGTCACTGCATGACTCACCGATCACGTAATCATTGTCTGAACAGCTGACCTGCAGTGATCGGCTCTATCAGTCACTAGCGAATTTTCCATCGTCCATGAGTGGTCACCGATCTCTCTCGTAATTATAGCATTCGTGTCGCAAGGTCTAGCCTTCCTTATCGACTTTTATCTTTGATGATAAGCCATGCGTGTCGTTCGGTGCTGATAAACCTCTTGTGAGTAATCGTACACCCCAAAGCAAGTGAAAAGTTTGTATTAAACCTATCATCACTTCTATAGTATTTGTTTGAATTTAAAATCAAGGACATGAAATTTTGTCCTATTTACGGAATTAAATCTATTCTGAAAAAGTCAAGCACCATAGTATATGTAATAGTGATGAGTTGCAGTAATGAACATGGAAACGCTTGGCTTGGTTGAGGTAACCGAAGGTTCTTAGTTGCGGTTGAGGTTAGGTTAATTATTACGAAGCTCGTATCCGTTTATACTTAAACGTCTTGCTGGAAAAACTAGATCAGTTGCTCAGTGATCTACTTACACTGGTCTTTCATGACCGATATGATTGCCGTATTTTCTTAATTATTGTCTGTCGTCCTGGGTTACGTATAAGAATTACGAATAAATGTTTCCACGTTCGCTTTCCATAGAAAAATTGTTGCAATCACCAAAGAACAAAACTTTATCAGATTTTTATTTAGTCTATTGTATAATTCGACTTTTTAATATTTAATAATAGATGCATGTAATCTCAGGCCTGCACATACTAACGGCGTTATATAGTTGACATAACGTGCGTATTGCTGAGTATAACACCGCAAAGCATGAGTCAGTACCACGATTGGTATTATGCAGTTTAAGAAAAGTTTCACGAGTAAATTAAACTCGGGTAATTAATGAAAAATATCTAGTCATTGCATCTTCGATAAAAGAATTTTTGACAACACTCGGAGATCGTCAGAAATCTTCCTTCCTTTCCACATTCCTACTCCCAAATGAAGCCCAAGATTTCTCAATGGTGATCCTAGCACCACTGAACCTATTTTAATTCCTACTCGTTCCTTTCCATATTCCTACTCCCAAATCAAGCCCAAATCTCCATTTGTAAAGAATTTCAGTAACCCATATGTAGGGAATCTGTACGGCAGCGTGCGTAGATTTACGGATTAGTGTAAAAATAGCATCACGATGAACCAGTCGCTACTCCTGGTCCACTAAATCACGAGGCTGGTGACAACGACGCGACGTGCAGAATGAATTCTGGTCGTTAATGAAAAAACGGGCAGCAAACGACCGAAAAAATCTTGAAGCAGAGCTAGTATAAGGGCGTCGAAAAGCTGTATTACATTTTAAAATAGGTACATGTGTTTTATACATGTACACGTGTACATAAAATACATGTGTTGATAATACATTGGAATACATGTTATTCATCCACTTGTCGCCGTAAGCGCTTGAATAGCGCAACATTTGTCGAGATCTTGTTTTATCTATATAATTTAATAGAGAAGAAATTTTTATGCAATTTGAACTTTTTTTTATTTATTGTGTGAGGAAGAACTAAATCTGATTTTTAACCGCATCAAAATTTCTCAATGGTAATCCTAGCACCACTGAACCTATTCCAACTCCTACTCGTTCCTTTCCACATTCCTACTCCCAAATCAAGCCAATATGGGAGGAAATTCAAGAAACTTTTTTGGGTTTGTGACATAGCGTGTACGTAACCAGAGCTAACGTCGATCTAATTTCAACCTGAAAATGGCGAATTAATTATATAAAAATTGAAATTGTATCTCGATATCTTTCCGTTATCGTCGTACATGTATCTTCATTGAATTTTTTTTGTACCTTCCTATTGCATTCCGTTTATTTTCTTTTTACCTTCTCAGCATTTCAATGTATGTTTCTTTTAAATTAATATCCTCCTCGTGTTTCAGGTCTCGGTAGTGGAACCGTCTCCAGATCAAGTTCATCCGGAACCATTTCAGCCAGAATCACCATCACCTCCGTCCTACCCTCCACCTCCCATCCCATCATCCATCTCTCCTCCATCATTCGTCGAGGCTGAGGTCTTCACTAACTATTCCGACGCTCACGACGACGTTCCACTTCGCCGGACCAATCGTCAACGAAAACAACCCATCCGGCCACGCGGATTCTACAGAACTCGTAGCTTACCCGCCCCTCCTTCGAGTTACCGCTCCTCTACTTCCACAAACAGCTTCTTTTTCCCCAATCAACAGTCCTCCCCATACTCCTCGTCTCCCCCTGCCGACCATACGCTTCCTGAGGAAGAAGACCTCAACGCCAGAATGCGTGGGGAAGAAACAGGGTCACCGTCCTCCCTCAGCGAGGTCGACTCCGCCATCGGTGGGAGCACCACGTCCCCAGGGTCGTGTCGCAAGGCAAACAGGTGAACCAAACGAGCAGGTGAACCCGACTGATGGCTGAACCGATCGGCTGTAATTCGCTAGAGGTTCAACCAAATGTGCAGCTAGCGGGTGAACGAAACAAACAGCTAGCGAGTGAACCAAACGGGCGTTTAGCGAGTAAAACAAACGGGCATCTAGCGGGTGAACCAAACGGGCGTCTAGCGGGTGAACCAAACGGGCGTCTAGCGGGTGAACCAAACGGGCGTCTAGCGGGTGAACCAAACGGACGGCTAGCGGGAGAAACAAACGGGCGTCTAGCGGGAACAATTGACAGTGGCACGTGGAGTGTGGGCGACCGCGAGGTGAACTATGAGTGCTACGGTGAAGCTGACGACCTGGAGGAGCCTGACGTCGCTCCGTACGCTGGGTCAGTGCTTCACTGTTCTCTGTGTTCATTAGTTATTATCTGTAAAATAACGTATATTGATGGACGTTAGCTGGTAATTCGGTAATTCCATGTTTTCATTCCATGTTTCCATAATTCGGTAATTTTGATGGTAACATTCCATTCCATGTTTCCATAATTTGGTACGTAGTTCGGATGTTTCGGTAATTCCAGATATTCTTTAGTGAATGTTTGTTAGCGTTGGATGCTTCGGTAATTTAGTGAATTTTTTGGCGTAAATATGCCGAATTATTACTTCATATGAGGGCGATTACTTTTTATTATGTCTTTCTTTCTTTTCTTGGTTGTTGAGTTTTCCAGTAAAAGGCTTTAATTCGCTATAAAGTTATTAACTGCATAACTAATAAGACTGCGTGTACACCACAGAGACTCAGCGAGTCCCGTACAGCCGAGCTCCCTGCCCCCCGCGACGCTGGGCCACCGCAGCTCCTGGGGGCGACGCTCCCTCCGCTGCGCTCCCGCTGCGTGAGTCTCGTGTTTAATTAATTATATCTTAAATTTAAGATATAATTCTCGTGTTTAAATGGTAAAATCATTATTTGAACACAAGTTAAGCGTCGAAGATATTATTCTCGTGTCTAAATAATTTACTTAAATCGTCATTTGAACACAAGTTAAGCGTCAATTACCCAGTTTTTGATGGTAAAAAACTCGTTTCAACCCGTAAGTCTCGCACCTCGCACATAAGTTTAAGATATTAAACTCGTGCCTTAATGATAAACTTAAATCATTATTTGAACACAAGTTAAGCCTCAGTTGCCCAGTTCGAAGATATTAATCTCGTGTCTTAATGATGAACTTAAATCGTTATTTGAACATAAGTTAAGCGTCAGATGCCCAGTTTCTAATGGCAAATCACTCGTTTCAACCATAAATACGAGTACAAAACGAAGTAACCAATATAAAAAAAGGGTTTCCAGCTCTGAGTTATTTTTCATTTAAGCTTCTATGTTTCGCTCTCGTAACTTGTGGTTGATGTGGTAAGTCTACTTTGGCTTCAGAAACAAGCCATCTTACACTTTACTGGCATTCAAATGATTAACGACAATCATTATCGCAGAGCTTTCTTCCTTTTTCTTTACTGATACGATTAAATTCGAGGAAGAAACAATCCAAAAGATCAAATAGAGCTTTCAACTTGTTAAAAGCAAACAGCCTAAAATGGAGTTTGCTCTAATTTAAGTTTAGCATTATCACTTGTGATTAATCTCTTCATAATGTTAGATCTTGTATAGTGCCAGAAACAAATGTAGAAATACCGACGTTGAACTGTCGCCCGCTGTATTCTTCGAAGATTACCTCGGTGTCGTATGAAAGTTTCAACTCTGCCGGAAAGTGATTTCTATTTTGGGTTGTCACTTCAGTTACGTTCGTTTTCACGGAATAAAAAACCTATTAATTCTTGTTTGCTTTCATGTTAACTATGCTCTACTGTGAAATCATGTTCATGCAACGACCATTTTGCTTCGTAACAGCGAAATTTACCAATAGTTATTGGTATTATGTAAATTCGGCTAAATTCTCACTTTTTTCCACGATGTTTATTGGAAGTTGCCCCCCTCTTCTTTCATGCTAATTTACATGTTCTTCCCCACCCTTCCCCATGCAGCGTTCGAGAGGAGCCCGTCACACCCCGACGTTGGGGCTCGTTCAGACAGTAAGCCTATCTTTGCTTCCCAAGCGTTTGCTGCTTTGCTAACATCAGTTATCGTGTAGCGGCTTTTGCTATTTGCTAACCTTGCCATTGTTTCCAGCTGCACCTCCATTCTTCCAGACTTCCCTTCGTCGGACGTCTCTCCTCATCTTTATTTACCTTTGCTTACCCGTCCTTTCAGGGATAATGGAGTCCGATTTTCTGTCTACAAACAACGGCAATTAACTTGAAAACAGTTTCTCTAAAGCAACAGTTTTTAATTAGCTTTTCAATGGTGTAATGTTGTTAAAATTTGATTCATGAAAACCGATTTTAAAGTGACCTCTCACTAACGCTGGGTTGGACTACACTATCACAGTAAGTAGATTTATGTCCGGTTGCCCTGGTCTCCTTGAGTGTTGATTGATTCTTATCATGATTGTGTGGGTGTAATTCTAACCTCTGTAAATGTATATATTTAGAATGTGAGAGCCGCATGCATAATACGTATTAATCGAGTTTTGTGTTGTGTATAAAAAAGTGCTGAAAATGTCAGTATGTATCATTGGACTCGTTGACGGAAGTAACAGTAAGTAGTTTTCGAGCAAAAGGGGTTCTATGATAATTGTGGATGTGGTTCTGGGCATTTTTCGATAATATATTGCTCATTATGCATCAAAAATCTTTGAAACTTTGTTGAAAATCTTATAGTTCTAATGTGATCTTAGATTAGAAGGTTGCCTTTAGAATAGGATTTTTTTCGAGAAACGATCTTAACTGTTCAATCTATGAAGATGATGAGAAGCGTCCCAACGATAAATATCGACGCTTACTGTTAAATATCAACGATAAACTGATAAATCTTCTGCCTTCAAAGTGATTCAGGATCAAGGGATGGAACCATAAACAGCATTTAAGCTGTTGAACTTCTTAACTCTACTTAGGTACAATTAACAATCTCAATTAGCACTATAACGAGACTACCTTTAATTATTCCAGTAGTGAGAGTCGTTACCTCTAATTGAAAGGTCGGTAAAATCTTGAGAAGAAAATGATTGCTTTTAAAATTAGACGTACAAGATCGTTTGACTGATCGATTATCCGAGGCATTAGACACCAGTCAAATGTTCGCTAAGTTCCCGTAGCTTTTAAATGAAATATTGTGGCTTAAATTCTAAAGCAGCAGGCAGATTTTTGCCTAAAATCCAACTTTAAAAGTCTGCTGGACATTATATTGCTGATATATATGGGTGCTATATAGATATTATATATGGGTGCTATATAGATAGCACCCATAAAATAGTGCTATCTATTTATATATTTAAGAACTGGAGGGTTATTATTTATAAGGCATTTAATGTGACTATTAAACTTTCATGACATGCGCTGCATTTTACTTTGAGCTAAAAGGCACTTACAGTTCTAGGACTTCCGTCTCCGGTAACATCGAGCGTATCAATGAAGTTGATGAACTTAACGAAGTTTACTTTGCGCTGTTAAACAAAGGCAAAATTTTACCGAGGAAATTATGCGTCGGCACGCATGAAGCGCTCTCGTTACTCTCGTAACACGATGTTTGTGATGAGGTTTCGTTACTTCGAGTCGAATTTCTAAGCGAGTTGCCATATCCCCATTGCGGTGGCACTGAACGAGCGCCCCGCGATCGAGCCATAATGGATTATCATTTACGGTGCCACGAGGTTCATGGCACTGTACCACAGCCTTGGCCCCTTGGCATGACGGCACTGGCACTGCTTGCCGCCGTCTCGTTCAGTGCGCCTCTGGCGTCTGTTGAGTGAGGATGTGTTCGTCTGCGGCAGCACTGATAGCCCTGGAATGTTGTTGCCGTTATTGACTATATATAACGGAAAGATAAAATCTCTCCTATTGTTTCACTGTGATATTGTTGCTTCTTGAATGGTTCTGAGGAACATTTCCTAATGAAATATTTGTTAGTTTGTATAAAATATTCACGTTCTCCGATATTTTGGATTTTTTCTTAAATAGGGCAGCTGCTGCTTCGTGGCTGGCCAAGAGATTCGTGTAGTCTGTTCACGTACCTTACAATGACTTGTAATTACAACCCGAGCATTTTATTGCTGGCGCGGACAGAATTTTTTTACAAATACTCAAATTAAAGTAAATAGTTAATTAAAAATCCAAGCTTACTGTATTTCAAGAAAAATTAATATCTACACATTGAATTAAAAAGCTGTGTATGTATAAAGAATCCGACTCGTATATTTGAGTTATACCGGCGAACCATTGTACTGTATATACCGGCAAACCATCGTACTGAATAGAGTAAAAGTTTAGTGGTTGCTTGCTTCAAGAGTTCATGGCAGGTATACATAATATATATTATATTTAATATAAACTCGAGTGCAAGTAAGGTAAAATGGGCGGCGAAAACAAACAGTGCGTCTGTGTGCTGCCACTCCCTCAGAACTACTGACCTGCTCGACCGTTACGGGATCTCGACTAATCAGATCTGCGTTAATTTATCTGAGAAGGTGAGAATGTTTCGTTTTAATATTGAGTCGATATTAGTAGTGAAATATGCGTCAAATATCATCTCGCGATGTATAAATGATGAGAGAAAACTAAGCTTCTGATAGTTGAAGACGGAATTTGGGTGGTGAATTTGTACAATATTGTTTTTCACAAATAGCCAGTGTAATCGCCTCTCTGATCCCTTTACTAACAAGAAAAATGTTCCGGTTTCATGTCGGTCGTGTGAAATGTAAATATATGACACATTCCATCCAAGTATTATGTTTTTTTAGACATGTGGGCTGGTCCGGTGAAGTATGGGGGGCTTGTATGTGTCAACTGCGTGCAGTGTAGGCGGGGTGCTCTGCTGTACAGTTGTCAGAAGAGTGCAGTGTTGCAGTGTAGGAGGGTGCAGTGCTGTACAGTTGTCAGTTGCAGTGTAGGCGGGGTGCAGTGTTGTATAGTTGTCAGAAGAGTGCAGTGTAGGCTGGGTGCAGTGCTGTACAGTTGTCAGAAGAGTGCAGTGTTGCACTGTAGGCGCCGTAAAGTTATCAGCAGTTTGCACTACAGGCCACTACAGGCAGTGTTAGGTCAGCAGGTGCAGTGTTACATTGTGACGATCGTGTTGTGGTGCCCTGTGTGGGTAGCGGACTAGCCCTTATTGTTTTTTTGGTGTGTGTGTGTGGCCGAAGAGCATAAAGAGAGGTTGAAGTATGCAATTTACAAAGAGAGGTTGGATTACACAATATATAGATATATATAATATATATACACAATATATATGATATATAGAGAGAGTTTGGAGTATACAATGTATAAAGCAAGGTTGGCGTATAAAATATATAGAGATTTAAATATACAAAAAAAAACAGAGACGATGTAGAGTGTAGAAGCAAGTTCAAGCAACCGAGTAATCTGTGCGAATAAGATGCATGCCTGCACTCTTACATAACAATAACCCTAACGAAGCTAGCGGTCATTGCTCTAACAAGCAACAGGTTGCGACTGCAATGTTTGGCATGTGAGCGACGCTGTGTTTGATGTAAGTGTTTGTAAACTAACACGTGCTCGCTGCAGCACGCTCGTTCCTGCCGGCACACTTTCACTGTTTTTTAATTATTGATCCTTTTTATGTTTCACGCATTTGTTATTCGTCGTTAAAATAAGAGCTGATAATTAAAAATTTTCCGATGAATCGGGTTTTTTATCTTTTGATTTTATGTATTTGCATTTATGACGTGCATATTTGACACCAAAAAATATTTTATCAAAATTCAATTTAAGAATGACATTAATTTATACCGTAATTAAATTTCTTTGTCGTCTCGCCTAAAGCCGC